CCAGACCAATGACTCATTGCCAACGAACTTCTGAAAGTAAAGATTCGTGACACAACACGACACACTAGAGCTTCCATGAAGAGATGTTTTTATTTTTTAAATTTTTGTTTTTATCTTGTTTTGCAGGCATAGAGGAAGATTGCAAGGGTAGAGGGTGGATACAAAGGGATGGAAGGTGAGTGGGATTAGGGTGCATGATGTGAAACTCACAAATAATAAAATGTGTGGTGAAAATTATTAACATTCCGACCTGGTGCTTCTGTCCTGCCTTGTTCATTGAGTTCCTAGATGAAAGACACAGACATAGCTTTTATATCTACAATAGGCCTTAAGCAGCACAATAGCTGGGCGGTGCCCTACCCTCCTGCTGTTAGGATCTATTTTCCTATTGATAGCCTCAAATTATTATTTACTATGTTCAATCTGGGCTGTTCTTAACTCCAATTGGGCCGCCCTCAGGGCCAGGCCACTTGACCCTTAACCCATGGTCGCTTCTCCTTCCTCCTCTCCTGCACCTTCCCTCAAGGGGTCCACCTCTCTTCCCAAGACTATGAAAACCCAAACCCCACTTATATCTCTTCTGCCCAGCTATTGGCTGTTGACATCTTTATTAACCAATGAGAATTAACTTGGGGGCAAGGTAATAGGGGCTACATCCAGACTGCAGGTCTTGGGAGCCTGGTACTTAGCATTACAATAGATAGTAAAAGACAAAACCTCAACTACAAAGTTAAAATTAAAATTAAGTAGCATTTGCCTCTGGCCAGGGAAGCAGGTAGGCTAATGACAGATGTTCACCTCACCCTCCTTTCCTCCAACTTCAATCCCCCAGTCTCCTCTCCAGTTTTGTATCAGACTGCCTGCTTTGGCTTCTCCTTAACTCTACCCCAATTTTTAGGGGAGTTAAGTGATATTGTAAACCAAATGGACTTAACATACTTACAGAAAACAAGACACCTTCTTTTCCACACCTCAGAGAACTTCCTCAAAATTTGACCACATTCTTGGACACAAAGCAAGTCTTAACAGATACAAAAAACCTGAAATAACACCCTGAATCCTATCTGACCACCATCACAGATTAAAAACTAGACAACACCAAAATAAACCATAGAAAGCTTTAAACCTTATGGAAACTGAACAACTCACTCCTGAACGAAAATGAACACACAACATATCCAAATTTATGGGACACAAGGAAAGTGGTTCTAAGATCTAAGCCCATAGCACTATCTACATAAAAAACTGGAGAGATCTTGTATTAACAATTTAACAGTACACATTTTTTTAAAAAATTGTCTTATTTATAAGCATTTTTTCTGTTGTTTACCCTGCACACTACTTGCCTATATATTATGGCATATACTTTAGTGTTTATTAGATCCCTTAGTGTGCAAATAAGTGGTGTCCCTACATCTGTTACCTTGGTGCCTTTTCTTGGAGTCCTTTTTTTTCCATTGTTCTATTCTGATGTGTTAGCTTTTGGTGTATCTTTATATTATAACTTATTGTATTATATTACATCTCATTATACTATATATTATTACATCTTGTTATATTATATTCCCTTGAACCTGTTTGTTGTCTAATGGAAAACAGAAATCTGGATGGGAGAGGGGATAGGCTGGGAGTAGGAGGGGAAACTGCAATTAGGATATATTGTTGAGGTAAAAAAGCTATTTTCAATAAAAGAAAAAAAAAAGCAGGTTTTGTCTGTTAGGTGATAAACATGGCCACCAATAGAAACACTATTCTTTTGCCCACTATACCTTGAGTCTGAGAAGTTAAGTAACTTAAGTCTGGTTACATACCAACTCTAACATAAGCAAGGTATTGATGAATCATATTACCTTATATCTAGAAATCTGAAAATAACTCAAAGGTCTCTTGTTCTAGACAGGGAAGCTAAGAGCCAGAGAGGCTGTGTCATATCCAAATTCATATGGTAAGGACTTGGCAAGGCCCATCTGATGAGAGAGCTAGTGCCTTGCAGGAGTCAACATTAAGCTTTCTGGGGATGACTCTTCCCCTTGGGCTGTGGTTATGAGTCCTTAGGCAGCTGTGCCTGAGGTAGCCCATGTTCTCCTTCCCAACATTGTCTGATTTAGCTCTCTGTTGACCTTGGCCACTTCGTCTCTGCAAATAGTATAGATGATAGTGTCCTTCTCAATGAACTGGGATTGGCATAACTCCTTAGCTTATTCGATACCTCCAGATCTCGGCCATTGCTTTTGTCTCCTTTATTTCTCACCTCCAGTCCTGTCACTCAACACCTCACCATTCCAGACCCTCATTCCTGATGTTTTTGGTCAATATTGTAGTTTAAGCTGAGGTTCCTCAGTTCTGGCCCCTGTATCATGATGACCATTCTCATTACATTGTTTGCTGTCTGGCAAAGCCTGAAACAGCCCCATTCCTAACATTATTAACTACAGCTTAAAACAAAACACTAAAAGGATAATTTTCCCTTTGAGAATTTTCTACACTTCTAGTGAAGGGCTTCCTGTCCTACAAGAGCTGTTACTGCAGAAGGAAATAGAGATCAACTGAAAATGCTTAATAATCCTTATTCATGTATGACAAAGTATGAACTGGGGGAAATGTTCTTGTCATTACAGCAGCCCTGGAACTCTCTCAAGGCAGGATCTCCAATATTAAAAACAACACTCAAGGAATGGGGATAGAGCCCAGTGGTAGAGCAGTTGTATAGTCAGTGTAAATCCCTGAGCTTGATCTCCAGTAAGAGACCCCCCCCCACACACACTTTCTCAAGGACTCATGGAGACTTAAGTTTGATATAACATATAATAGATATGAAAAGGAGTTTACTAAAAGTTCCTTTTTTTTTTGGTAATTCTTGTTCTTGAAAATTTTAAATTTAATTAAAATACAATTACTCCCCCCTCATCACCTCACACGCGTTTTCAAACCAATGACCTTATTCTTTATTGGGGAATACATGTATAAATGCAATCTGCTGAGTCCATTTTAGTGTTGCTTGTATGTATACTTTTTACGATGGACTATCTGGGACTGGATAATCATTTAGGGTGCTATCTGTGAGGAAGACTAAATTGCCTCTCAGCAGTTGTTAAGTGCCTATAGCTCTTCATCAAGTGGTAAGGCTCTGTGGATTTCCCTCTTCCATGTTGGCTTGTTAGTTAGCGTCAATGTTCAGATCTTGTTTAAACTCAGTTTTGAGATCTCATGCTCATAGAAACTTGTCATATCTAAAAGACAATCTTGCAGCAGACTTCCTGGTTCCCTGGCTCTTACAATCTTTCTCCTCCCTCTCCTGCTGTTCCCTGAGCCTCAGGTGTATGGGTTATGTTCAAGATGTTTCATCACTGGGGAATCTCACAGAATTCTGGTTCCCATTTCTCAGTCTGCTTTGAAAAGTAGCTTTTTTTTTTTTTTTGAAAAAGGAATGAGGACTACATTCATCTGTGACTCTGAGTCGAGTAGACAAGTTAAGGATGTCCCCAAACATGCAAATAGTAGATATTCTCTATATTTTAGGATGGTTGTTTGTACTTCACTGATTTTGGCAGACTGTTTTCCTTGTTATTTGTTAGGAAACAAACTTTTGCTTTGGCCATTGACCCATGTGTCAGCGAAATGTGTACCATCTTTGTCAAATGTATGCTGTCTTCTACAACTGTCATTTTTGATATCAGAACTTCATGATTCAAGTTAGTCTAGGCATAAGTTATGCTTGATTCTTCCCTTACTAATCAGCATCAAGTCCTAACACTTTATTTTCAAAATGTACCAGAACTTGATCCTTATCTTGCCAGTCTATGCCTGCCTCTCTTTCAGATTTTGTCCCACTGAGTGGCGATAGTGGCATTTCTCAAAGACAGAGTCTGAGCCACTAACACTTCAAGATTTCCTCATGATTTATGCCCCGGCCCTTCAACCAGATCACTGTGATCCAGATCAGTGCTCCACACTGTCTTCCAACCCGCCAAGTGAGCTGTCTCCTTTAGAACTTTAAAGCAGCTGTTCCCAGAAGTCCATTCTGGTAACCAGTCATTGGAATTCCTCTGAATAAACAAATATGCAGCCTATATCTGAAATGTTACCTCGTCTCAGAAGTTTCCTTTTCTCCCCTTTAAAGTTTAAAAGACGGCAAAAGCAACCCTTAATATATTTAAAACAAGAAACCATAACTAAATACTTTCGACATAATGTATTTCCTTTGCTATAAGTAAAGAATACTTGCTATATTAAAAACAAAACAAAATAAAAACTCTGTGTAAGTAGAGCATTGTGGCTCACACCTACAATCTCAGCACCGCTGAAGCCAGGGTAGAGGTATCACGAGTTCTGGCAATCCTGGCTAGTAAGCAAAAGACAAGCAAGGAACAACAACAACTACCACAAAGTCAAAGCCTGGAAAACTCATCTATGGAACCAGCATAATTTTATCAGAGAAAACTGTATAAGTAAAGCCAGCTTTAATACACAAGAAAGGCTGAAAACTTTGGGGGAACATTTTAGTACGTTTCGGGTATTTTTCCGAGGTACATTTCCCTACACTTTGTTTAAGCTAATACGTGTTCCTTTATTATAAACAAATATAGAGCCAAGTAACTGTTTAGTATTCATTAAAGAAAACATATTTAACTGTTTTCTTAGTTTTGCAGCTACGGCATTTGACATTTTGACTGTAGTGATGAACCTGAAGCTGACAAATCTATCAGCAAAAGTAGAACTAAATCAAAGGTTGAGTATTTTTCCCAGTATCTTATTGTAGTTTTTGTCAAATCTGTTTCTAAAATCCGCCCCTTCATCTGTTTTCTGAAACGCAACTGGAGACGTCTTTAGGCTAATTTTCCGCCTCGGTCACAACTTTAAAATGTGGTTCAAGATCTAAACCTCTGGCTCGACTTCCAGCCTCTCCCCCGGGTTCTTCCCGGGACCTGCAGCTTCTCCAGCAGCTAGGACAGATCTCAGGACGAACCTCGCGCACCCCAAGTCCTCCCAGCCCGGCTTACAGGAGTGAGCACAGATCCAGCCATTGAATGTCTCACGAAGCCGGTCGGCCAGCAGCCCGGAGGCTGACCAGGGCGACGACTTGGGCTAGGAACCCGGAAAAGCCGAAGCCCACAGACCTCCGCGCCCCGCTCTCGGCGACGCCACCATGCCCTGCGCGACACCCAGACCAGACACATCGAGCGCAGAATGGAGATGCCTCTCTGTCAGGCCTCTCAGAAGCCAGCAGCAGGCCCTAGCGGTCCTTCCCGAACGCCGGGCGGGGCGCCGTCACCTTCCAGCCAATCCCGAGCGGCCGCGGGCAGGCAGCGAATCGGCGGCCGGCATTCCAGGCGCGACCAGTCGAACTCCGACGCGGGGATCGGGCGGCCCGCGGAGCCGGGGCTGTTTTTCAGCAAGCCGAGCCAGGCGTGGCTCCAGGCCTTTCTACCCGGAGTCTGCGCGTGCGCCCGCCCGGCAGCCGGCGGCCGCGGTGTCCGCTGCAGCCTGCCGCCTAGGTATCGTGCCGATGCATCGGCAGCAACGCGGGCCACGATGACAGATTACGGCGAGGAACAACGCAACGAGTTGGAGGCTCTGGAGTCCATCTACCCCGACTCCTTCACAGGTGACTTTGGCCGCCGCCCGCGCCGGGGCGGAGGCCGGGCCCCCGCGGGCCTTCCTCCCTCTCTCCAGTCAGTTTCCAGCACCCGCCTGCTCCCTTCCCCACTGTCCTGAAATCCGAAGGTCCGGGTGGCTCTGCGGAGGCCCTGGGATTGATCCCGACCGCTTTGTCTTCGCGTAACCGCAGCCATCCAAGATTCACCGAAGCACGCGGAGAGAAACTCTGGCCGTGCGATGAGTTTCTCCAGAGCCGCTCAGTGTCCCCCGTTTACCCTCTCCTGTTTTAAGCTCTGGTGAAGTAATAGCTGTTTTCCCTTCGGTGATGTTTGGGTACTGACACTCGGGATTGTCTTTTATTTTCTGTAAGTCTAAGAGTGATCAGGCATTCTGCAGAATGCCTGATGACCGAAGTGGCCTCTGTGGATCTTAGACGTCGTTGATACCTCTTCGGTATCTTTAGACGTCGTCGAGGTTCTGGAGGCCCAGGGAAGGCAAGTGGCTTGTGCTCTGCCTCCTCCGGCCAGAGCTACCCAGTTCTTAGACCCTGAAGACTTGGGTTGGGGATCCAACCTCAGCTCAGACGTAGGAAGAGCACACTGGGTCTAAGGGAAAACATCCATGAGGAAATTCATTTGTAGAATCCTTCCGTGTGAGTCTGTTTCCGTGGACAACCTATCCATGGTTTTCTCAAATTAGGGAAGCACTCAAGGTAAAGTCAGTAAGCTTGGGCTTGGCGGGATTTACATTCCACAACCCTTTTCTCTAAGTGTTGTCAAGTATAACTTACTGTCTGAATTCAGAACGTAAGGCATGCGGGGTAGTGGTGGCGTACGCCTTTAATCTCAGGACTTGGGAGACAGAGGCAGGCGGATTTCTGAGTTCGAGGCCAGCCGGGTCTACAGAGTGAGTTCCAGGACAGCCTGGCTTACACAAAGAAACTCTGTCTCGAAAAACAACAACAACAACAACAAAACAAAACAAACCAAGAACATAAGGCATATTACTTTAACTCCTAAACTCCAAACGATCTCTCTCATTGCTTAGCTTAGTTTTATCTTTGGCTCCACTTTTTGACCAGCTGCTTGCAATAGTAGCAAATTTTGTTCTGATTTGCCAACAGGCAGATGTCTCAGCTACCCTTGTGTAGTTCCAGTCATGTTCATGTTCTCTCGCACCAGCAATACAGCTGTGCTGCGGATGTTAAGGGGTGGTTTGAGAGTGTCATTACCTGGGTGAGTGTGTGTGGAGTCTGGCTCCCTTCTCTATCCTTGTTTATATATCAATGTCAAACTAAAATAGATTGCTAATGTCAGTTGTCCGATATAGTCTGAATCACAATGTTTAGACCTTTCTAGTACGTTAGAAATACAGGCATGAACCTGTAGGCAGAAGCAAAAATGCATGAGGCAGACAATATTTTTAACTTTCATGTTAGGGTGTCCTTCACATGTGCGTCTTACAACGGTGACATATTTTTAGGTCTTAAAACAGTATTGTGTTGAATTTTACTAGGTCCCAGTAGTGGTAGTATAAGAAATTCTTGTCAGATGTACAAGTGCTTGAGGAGCCTGAGGTAGGGTAACAAATGAAGACTTACAAATATTTTGATGCACTCAGCTATTCCATAGCAACCTGTTGAGCCTGGTTGTAATTCCTTTCTGCATCTGTACACATTTTTGCAATAAGTAAAAGATCTCGATTAATTGTTCTTAGGGATTTTGCACTGCTCTTGGTCATTTTTATTTATTTTTTAATGAAATCTTTTAGGGAAAAGATAGGACTTTTAAATAAAATATTTCTGTGTTTTATCCCAGAAATTCTGAGGGTTTCTAAGGTTTGCAGTTTTGTGGCCAGTTGTATTTATGCTTCCATACTTGCCTTCAGGCTTAAGAAAGTTACCTTGTTTGCCAGGAACACTAGATTTCAGGTTTTTTTTTTTTCTTCATTTTGTATCTCATTATCTCATTTAATACTAGATTTGGCAAATGCTCAGTCTGATGAAGGAATTGGATCTCCTACCCCACCCTACCCCACCCTACCCCTTTCTTTAATACATACCCAGTGAACTAGGAGAGAAGCATTTGTTAGGCCCAGTGACTTTGTATGATATCAAGAAGGCGTACTTGTGGCCCACAGACCTCGCTGAACCTTAGGATTAATTGCTGTTCTACTCGTGGTGATCTCGTGGTCCAGTGTCGCACTGGTCGTGAATTGTCATCACACTCTAGTGTCTTGTTGCCTGTTTGGTAGCTTGGCTGCACTGTGGCCCTCCTAACAGCCTGTATAAACAGACTCTCTCTACACCGTTCTCCCACCTGTCTTGCATCCGCTAAGGTAGTAGAATTTAATTCCATTTCTCTACTAGAATATCTGATAGAGGGGAGTATTTTGGAAGTCCAAGGTTGCCCTTTAGTAACTCTAAACCAAGTTCCCTTAATTCTGTCTGCTTTACCAAAGGACACCCTGTATGTACTTCATCAGGCCCCTGTGAAGTTGTGGTTGGCACCAAAAGCCACAATGGTGCAGAGGACGAGGAGAGATCCTGTTGTAAAAGCAGAATTTCTTGAGAAAAACTTGTGATTTTTCACAGTGGTGGAAGGTTGGCACCTGTGGTGTAGCCTGCCTAGTCCGAAGCAGTTCATTAGAACAAGCAGTGATGAGATTATCACCAGAACTGGGAATCCACCATGTGTGGTGGTACATGTCTATCTTCCAGTACTTGGAAGCCTGAGTCAGGAGAATGGAAAATTCCAGACCAAGATGGCTTATGTGATGAAACCTCATCTTAAAGAACAAAACAAAATTTAGGGGTTAGTAATTTTTGCAAGTGTAAGTACCTGCTCCCCCTCTCTCCTTGGTTTTCTGAGACAGGGTTTCTCTGTGTAGTCCTTGCTATCTTGGAACTCACTGTGTAGACCAGGCTGGCCTCAAACTCCTTGAAATCCTCCTGCCTCTGGCCCCCAAGTGCTGTGATTAAAGGTGTGCACCACTACCTGGAAAACATTAGGTTCTAAAAGTAAAGTTAAGGTTTATTTTTATTGTATATGATAGGCTCCTGGCAGCACCCATTCAGGAAAGTTCCTTCAGGAAGGGGCTTCTGACTTTAGTTCTTGGTTATCTTTAAGGACTCACAATCTTTGTCAAGGAGCAGCAGCAACAGATAAAGGACTGAAGGAGGAGGTGAGGGAGCTAGTTAAAAGGAGATTTGCTGGTAACTGTTAGGAGGTATATCTGTTTTCATTTTGTTCTAAGAACTTACTTTGTTTTGTTATAAGAACTTATCCCATGTATAGAATTTTCTAGCATTTCGTTTTCTTAGGTGTACCCACTTTCCTTTATTTGCCTCTCTTCAGAGTGTCAGGTTGTTGTGGTGTTCTTTGCAAGCCTGGATTTCTTCAAGCATTTGATGGGAAGTAATATATATGTAAATACTCTATAGTAGTTCAATAAGCATAAGATACTGCTTATTAGAAATAATACTGTTTTAGTTGTTGATCCTTCTGTTAATTGGGCGTTATTGTTCTTTGTTTTCATTAGATCATAACATTGATTTTCTGCTGCATGTGCATATCAGCATATCTTGGAAATACCAGGGTGATTCCTTTTCCTGACTTTGACGTCCTATGTTTTCTTCTTCTTCTGTTTTGGTTCCAGTGCCTTACAGTCCTCTTGTGGTTTCTCATTGATTGGTAGTTCTGCTTTGTTTGATCTAGCTTTTCTGTTGTTTAAGATCAGATCATTTGGTCTTCTTGCTAAAACCTTAGGCATCTTTATTTACCAAGTATTTCTTAGCTACACAGTAAAGGACTCAGTCTATTAGGGAAGTAGGCAGTATACATTCAAGGGGAGAGGGTAGCCCGGTTGTTTTGGAAAACTGAGAGATGATGAGTTAAGTGGAACCTGGGGAACAATCTTTCAGAGGGACGTAGCACATGTAAAAGCAGGACTCTCTGAGTGCAAGTGGTGACATAGTTAGAACATCAACTAAGTGGTGAGATCAAGGAACTGAGGGCATTAACAAGTGAGCAGGAACTAAATGACTGGGGGCCTCCTCAGGGGTTAATATGACCTGATTTGTCAGTGGGTCCTACATGTACAAACTGTACAGTGTTCATTATAGACACTGTTATATGTATCAAACCCAGTGTTCTCAGAAGGACTAGGTTTTCTAGTGTTAGGACCATATTGTCCTACCACTTTCTATAAATGACCATAAGCACGGAGGACAAATAGAGAACTGCTTTTAGTTTTTGATGTTTGTCTCACCCCCCAAACCCACCCCTTTGATGGGTTTCACATAGTTAGCTAGCCTCCAGTGCCCTGTGTAGCTGAGGACATCCTTGAATTTCTGACTCTCCTACCTCCATTTCCTAAATGCTATCAGATTTGTCCTTAACTGCTGCTAAAAGCATGTAATGATGTGATAAAATGTCATAGAAAATGGAGCAGAGATGGTGGTGGGGTGGGTGGGGTAGTGGGGTTATCCTCCAGGCCAGTACTCGTCCTTTGATTGTATAACACTTGTATTTTGTTTGTTACTATCTTCTGTGGCTGCTGCTTTTAACCTCTGGCAATTTTTTCCCTCTCACTTTTTCTCCAAAATAAGGATTCCTTACAAAGCTGCTGTTGTCCTTTGTCTTGTTTCTTTCTAATGATCTCATTAATCTAGTTCTAATGATTTCCTTAATGTGATAGCTTTAGTGATTACGAGAAGATCCAAATTGGATTCAGACCTCGTGCCCTCATTTCTGATGGCCTACTCCACCTCTGCAGGTTTCTCTCATGTTACATCATGCTTGGTTTCTTCTATACTCTTGTTTGGCTTAGTGGTACCATATTTACATCTGCAAACTCAACCTGTCATTAATTTCCTGTTATTCCCATGGCTCCCATCCTAGATCAGAACCTCATTATCCTTGCCTGGTTGATTGTAGAGGTTGCCTAGTTTCATCTGCTTCCTATTTTGTGCACTGTTGCTAGATTTACTGTCTTGTGCAGAGATGCAGTTCCAGCTGCTGAAAATGTTACTATCTAGGATTACATTGTCAAACATACTTACTTTCACTAGTCTACTCACTCACTCATATATGCCCATCCAACAGAAAACTAATTATGTCAATGTTCCTTAGTTTCCCAACCATTGGGCTCTGCCACCGGGGTATCTTAACACACATCCCCCTTCTTCATACCTACTTGCTAATGTGCTATTCATGGCTTTTAGCCTCATTCAGGTAACATCCCTGAAATTTATCAGCAAGAAATATTTTCCTTTTTCTTTTTAAATGAAGTCCTGTGTGGTTTACCAGCCCTGCCGCTTAGAGCTGAAGAACCGTATGCAGTTTATGTGAAAGCTCCATGGTTCAGTGTCCGCATCGGTGGCATTGAGGTGATGATGTATTTGACTGTTTCTAAGATGCACATCATATATTTGAATATGACTGAAAGGAAACTATATCTTGGCATCTTTTTTAGTGGTATATAAGGTAAATTAATCGTCTTTAACCTCTTATATTTAGCTGATTATAGTTAAGAGTATAAAACTGTGGTCTTGGTATTGGATTTAAAGGATTTTTTGTTTTGTTTTTTTTGTTTGTTTGTTTTTCTTTTTTATTGTTTGTTTGTTTGTTTTTTGAGACAGGGTTTCTCTGTATAGCCCTGGCTGTCCTGGAACTCACTCTGTAGACCAGGCTGGTCTCAAACTCAGAAATCCACCTGCCTCTGCCTCTGCCTCCCAAGTGCTGGGATTAAAGGCGTGCACCACCACTGCCCAGCTTGTTTGTTTTTCGAGACAGGGTTTCTCTGTGTAGTCCTGGCTGTCCTGGAGCACACTCTGTAGACCAGGCTGGCCTTGAACTCAGAAATCCGCCTGCCTCTGCCTCCCAAGTGCTAGGATTAAAGGTGTGTGCCACCACTCCCAGTTCTTAAAGGATTTCTATTTAACTGCATAGCCCAACACAAGTACAATGTGGTGCTCAGTATGGCTGTATTTGTTAGACTAATTAATAGCCTCCTGGAGTCCTTGTTGGTTCCTATGATGTTGGGTTAAAGCTTTGATTTCTGTGGTCATGGTATTTACATTTCATGATATGTTAATGCTAAGGAAGAAGAATGAAACCTATCTAACATATTGTAATAAACACCTAAAATTGGTAAGAACAACCTATCTGGGAGTATATAACAAGCCTTTAGTGCCTTTTCAGCATGGAGTATGCTGTCTGAGACTATGAGTCCAGTTTGAGTCCAGGAAGAGTGCTTCATCAGTTGGGCAAACTGCTTTTGAGTCATTGTAGATATTCATCATGGTGTTTTAAACCTGAGTCGAAATGAAGGCCTCTTTTAAAAACATCACTGATAACACATGTCTGAGGTGATTTGAGGAAGGCCTGGACACTTAAAAGCCATGCAGTCTCCCTGGTGACTTGAGTCATCTGTGCTCTCCCAGCGTTCACACAGCTGTTGCCGACCAGGCCTGGCATAAAGCTGAGGCAGTGTAGCCATCCTTGCAGCTAGGAGCTTCCTGCCTTAGTTCTCACTTGGTTTTTAGTATTAATCTTCTTCGTTAGTTTTTTCATTCGTCCATTAGTTAGTCCATTAAGCCAGTATTTGCTGACTTTGTAGAACCGCTGTGTGTATTTTCTTGCAGTGTTATCAGAAAACCCACCCTGCTTCACCATTACCGTGACATCGGAGGCTGGAGAAAATGATGAAAGTAAGTAAGATGGAATTGCTCATGGTTTCCTAGGCTCCTTCTGTAGTCGTTGTGCAGGGCACTGCAGGTGTGGAGGTGCTGTTATTATTGTGTGTGACTGTTGTGTTTGTAGCCTGTGTTTTCTGTGTGAATGTGACTTCTAGGGACAGAGGCAGGCTCTGTAGTTGGGCCTACAGAGTCCGTATGTGTGGTATTTAAAAGTGAAACAGATAAACAATGCAGCAGGTGAAGAGACAGTAGAGACTTTTGTTCAAAGAATTTGTCAAGTGTTTATTACTTTTTGATTTCTGCTATTTTCTTTGGAACTATAAATTATTTATTGATCATTTACTGTTGTAAACAGGCTGAATGTATACCTATTTATCGAATCCAACAAAGTAAAACAGCTTTAAAACTAGTAAGTTAAATAAATTAAATTTAGTAATAGTATAAAGGTTATCTGTTTTTGGTCTAAGTCAGTTAATATAGTAATTTAAAAAGTTATATATAAGCTGACAGTCCCAAGTATGGTTTTTTTCAGGTGGCAACACAAGTTCTGTCAGGAGGAATCAGTCAGTTTTAGAGGTATCACTTGAAAACTGTTAGTTTC